CAGAAACAGAGTCTTAAAAGTTCCTTGTATCCTACACCTCGGTGGCTAGTGCTTTCTCCCAGCGTATTCCCTCCCCTGCCCGAGGGCACTGAAACCCGCTTTTCTCACTGTAGTGCCTTAGCAGCCAAGCTGTGAGGCTGTCCCGCTTGTGCTGTGAAATAAATACTCCTTGCTATGGAGGGTGCAAGCACACAGTTGTTTCCCCCACCACAGGTTTTACAGCCCCAGGTTACAATTCAGCGGGTGTGATTTTAGTAACAGAAGAGCAGAATAACAGTCTGATGCATACTGTTTAGGGTGCTGACTGGGTACAACTAATTTTCTTCACGGAAAGGGTTGTCTCAAGCATTGGAACAGGCTTCCCTGGGAAGTGGTTGAGTTGCCATCCCAGGAGGTATTTAAAAGACCTGTAGATGTGGTGCTGAGGGACGTGAATAGTGGTGGACTTGGCAGTGCTAGGTTCACAGTTGGGCTTGATGATCTTAAAGGTCTTTTCCTACCTAAACGATTCTATGATTCACTTTAGCGCAAATAGTCATTTCAACATTATTTTTTTTCATGTTTAGTATAAACTATATGTTTGTGACCTGGAACCCAATTCTCCCTTCTTGCAGATGGGTTCCCCTAACAACTAAAATCCAGAGTTTTGTAAACAAGCTCGCTCTTTTTCTCTCCTGAGACAATATCGGCACTAATAACTTAATGACAAATTTCATATTTGGGGGAACTCCCCCGCTGTTAAGTAGCCCCTAGACTGGTAGTTTGGTCATTTTTCTAGAAAGTGAGATGTATGGGTGAGGACCTCATCAGGTGAAAGTGGAAGTTGAAGTCCTAAATGGGTGTACTAAGGACAGTCACTGGTAAAAATTTCCCCCCCAGCAGGTGTATCAAGTGTGTCTGAGAACTTCCTGCATCTGAAACAGGTGAAGGATTATGGTTTGTGAAGACTGGTGCTACTTTAACCTGAGGAGATTTGAGCAATGCAGTCCTGCTAAGCATAAGGTACTTCTGTGAGAGATCAGAAGACAACTTTTGGGAGGTGTGAGCCTGAAAACAGAGGACGCTGCGTGCCTCCTCGGTGAGATGACAGCAGAGCAGGGCTATGGCTCTGTGCCTGAAGTGGAAGTTTGAGCACATGAAGTGCCCTAGTCCTTTTGTGGACCCAAAGCTTCCTTGGCAATAGCAATGTGTCATTGACCATGTGTCCTGGTTTGAGTGACACAGGACTAATTTCTATTCTAATACTTGGGAAAACTGCACTTTTAGAAGACTCCAGTGTCTGAATTTGTGAAAATATTTACTTTACAGCCAGCTATGGTGTGTGGGTCTCAAGGTCTCAGTGTTTTTCGAGCTTGCCAGGTGTGGGGATGAGGAGGAGCGAGACTCGGGCAGTTGACCCAAGCTGGCCAACAGGATTATTTCATACCATCAACGTCACATTCACTATAAATTAGAAAGTTTGCTGTAAAGTTCTCTCTCTCCCTTGATGGCTGCCGTCCTGAGAACTTCGTGCCCTGGTGCCAGACTCCTGAGGCCTTCCCCTCCCCCTGAAGCTGTAGCGCTCGCAGTGTCCCACATTTGCTGTCCACTGCTGGGAGTGCACAGCTTCCTACTGATATAATTGACTGAGTATAATCTTTGCATATTCTGTATTGGTGTCGGGATCAATATCGGTTCTTTAGTGTTGTTAATTATCTCAGATGTTATTTATCTAATCTTATTCTATTAAATCTGTTTTTACTTCAGGTCCCAGGTTTCCTTGTGTTTTCCCGCCGATTCCCCTTCCCGGGTGGGGAGGGGGTCATCAGGGATAGAATGATTGTCTAAATGACAACAAATTGTTATGGGTCTCTCAAACCATAACACCACGTTACCTGTGGAACTGGTGGGAGTGGAGGCATGGCATGAGCAGCCCCCAGCCCACGTGAGTGGACGGCAGCATTGTCCGCAAGGCACCAGAGCAGAGATCCTGCTGGTTTTCCTCCCACTTTCCCAGGGCACAGTCCTCTGGTGCGCTGGCCTCCTGCGGCTCAGGACCATTGCAGCCGCCGTGCTGCAGCCTGTGAATACTCTGTGGGGCTCGGTGATATGTGAAGTGTGTTTCTCCTTCAGGTCAAAGTAGAGCCACAGCGTTCCAGGAGAAGCATATCTTCTTGAACAGCAGCCAGTTCACTACCTAAGTAAACAGTGCAGTGTTCAGACTCATCACACAGCATGTAGAAATTCATCTGGTTGTGCCATTGCTGTCTTCATTTGATTTTATGACTTGCAAGTCTGTTTGGTTTTAGGGCTTTTTTTTGTTTGTTTGTTTGTTTTTGTTTTTAAATCTGTGTTCAGGAATTAGATTCAGCACTTCCCGTGACTTTATGACCATCTTCAAATTAATATTTAACACAAGTCCTTTCAGGCTTTTGGTATACTATAGAGGCCTATGTCCTTTTCCCCAGTATTTCATATGGTGCTAGAAATGTTCCATCAGTCTGATACCTGACTTGCCAAATTAAAAAGAGAGAAAACTGACTGAATAAAATAGGCAAAGAAGAGCTCTGTCAGGTAAGAACGGCTACTGAATTACATCTCAAAAGAAAATGCTGAGATGATTATACAGCTATCACTGTATATTTAAGGCTAAATTCAGCTCAGCTGACTTCTTTACCTTGGCAATAGGGCAGAGCCTTTGGAGAAATGAGTGTGCCAAGAGGGACGCGGCGATGCCTTGCAGCGAACACAAATCAGACTCCTCCAGGAAGGAGAGGGGGCACGTGGCATGTGGTACGTGGTACCAGCTAGTGCGGTCTGAGCACTAATGGCCTTGGAAGCAGCTGCGTTTATGACTCTCTTCAGCCGTTGCTATAGGTAAGGTTTCTGTGAAGTCCCTGGTGAATTGTAAACCAGCACAAAAGAAAGTGTGGGAAGATCGCTGCCTGCCTGGCCCACGTCTCCCATGTTTGGAGCGGGTCTGGTTCAGGCTGCACCAATTAGTTTGTTCAGCCCTCAGTGTGTAATAATATAATTGTTGTTCACATTAGTACCAGTTACAGGGATTGGGAAGAAACAAACCTTTATACAGGAGAAGGTAGATTATGTTTGTGAATAAAACAAAAGGGAATGCTTTCTTTTTATAGCTCTATGAGCCCCAGATCAATTGAGCTGGTTACCTGTTCAGCAGTCAGTGTGGTCAGTAATTAATAGTTTCACTGTAGTTCCAAGCTTAAATATCACTCTTGGTGATCACTGTTTTCTGTCAACTGGGAAAAGAACAACCTGTATTTTTTTTCCTTTAATAAGAGAATTTTGAGGATCTTTGACAACAGTTAAACTAGATTTTGAAAAAAAGAAAGAAGGAAATTTTTGTGTTATAACCTATATTGAACTGATTCTAGCCCGTAAGTGGGAACACGCACACAGACACCATCTGGTTATTAGCAGTTAATCTGTTGTGATATTTCTCAAGTATTCTGTCCTTGCCCTGTATCCTTCTGTGTATGACGTGTTAACACATGCAATCGGCTGCATTCATTGACAAAGATCTTTACCCAAGTCCAGTTCCTGGTGGTGAGTTTTGCACTGTTGTAAAGCAAATCACGTCTGTGAAATTCAGATTATGGGAAGCCTTCTGGAACAGCGCAGCAAAAGCTGCACAGCTGATCTGGGATATGGCTGCTAGAAATCTAGACAAGAACCATGAAGGTATTGAGGCAGTTAAATCCTTTTGAGACTCCTATTTTTCCACTAATTTCAATTGGGAATTGTGTGCCAAATTAGGAGCCGAGTGTTCAAGTACATTGAGTTTGCACGGTACTTCTTGGGTCTTAATTTCAGTCCTTTGTAAATGATACGATGGGTATTTTTTGACTCACAGAAGGCGTATTTGTCATAATGATTTTCCCCCACCAGTACTATAGGAGTTGCTCTACCAGATGTCTGGCACTGCCTGGTATTCACGTCTCTAACAAGGGCTACAGAGCACTGTTTAGAAAGGGAGTTTCTTAATAATCCCTTCAGTTCCTGAAATTTTGTGCCCTGAAGTATGAGGAAGGTTGTCTGTTGTAACTTTTTATCCTGTTTATCAAAGTGATCTAACTGCAACCATGACTGTTCCTCTTAAAGACTTAAGCCTTTTTAGATGTAAAAATATTTTGGTCTTGGGTATGAAATTACCTTGATAAATAAATGGTGAATTATGTCAGAAAAATCTTTTTATTTGTTTCAAATCTGGAGCTTTTAAGCTACTCCCAGTATTGAAAAAAGGGGTAGATGGCAGAGCCTGGTTTCCTTACCGTGCATCACCACACTTCTCTCATGACTACTCCTTATGCTAACCCATCTGAGGGAAAAAGCACTGGTGTCGAGCAAGCTTTGAGGAACATTTCTATCAAAATAAAAAAAAATCCTGAGCTGGTGAAAAGCTGTCCTCTAATATATAGGATTTTCAAATAGTGGAGAAAGCAGGACTGGGGCAAAGCGATGCTGAAGTGATAGTGTCCCTCCCCCTTTGGACCTAACCTGTGCTGAAATAAATCTGCGGGGGCCACCAGCTAAAATGATGTATAGGTTGTCCTATATTACACTGAGCATCAGGCTGGTGTCCTTATCAGATGCTACAGAAACAGCTGCAAGTCGCCTTTGTCCCATCAGGCAGCTGCAGTGGTGACAGCTCTGTGGCACTGGTGTAGTACCTGGTGAGGCTGGTGGAACTGTGGGCATCCTCCCTGGGATGTCACCAGTGGGAAGGTGGCCTGAGGAAGGCCTCCACTTCTCCTGCAGCGAGGCCATGCTTCAGCTGAGCGTTCAACATTTGGGGCATTGACCTGGGCTCAAGCCCTGCTAGCAAACGCGAGTCAACATGGCCGATTCCCGCCTCTTGCACCGGGGTCAGAGCAAGCAGTGCCTGGCAGGAGACCGGCGAAAAGATCGTGAAAGAAGCAGCTATCAGCTGGTGACTTGTGCTGGGAGGTGGCGGGCGAGTAACCTTGCTCCATTTTGTGGCAGTGCTTCACCTGCAAGTGCCCGCTGTGAGTGAAATTGCCTGGGCTGGTGCTGTCCTTTATCAATTTCGCTCTCAGCAGGCTCCCCAGGTGAAGCATTTCATTGCGGGAGTCGGACGCTGCTCTCTCCTTGACAGCCTGAAATGGAAAGTGGGGAAAGGAAAGAAGGTAATAAATGGCCGGAGAAAAGCAAAAGCAGGACAGAGCGCGCTGAGAAGCAGGATGTGTGTTAAATGGTAATGGTAATTCAGTGCACCCAGCCCTCTGATTCTGGGGGAATTTGACACTGAGCTTTACTTAGGTCCTTTAAGCTTTACACTTAGAAGTGAAAGAAGTAAAAGAACTTTACAATTAGAAGTGAAAAATTATGGTGAATAGCATTATGTTTAAAATACTATATAAGATGACGTGGGTAAAACTAAAAGGTAATTTTCTTGATCTTCAGCCTAACAGAGAATTATGGGGCTTTTCTGGGAGAAATCCAGACAAAAATTCTTTTTTCCTGTTTTTTTCTGAAGCTGCATTTCAGATTTATACGCCTTGATTTATTTTTCTTTTTGGTGGTGTTTGTTTGTTTTGGGTTTTTTTGTTGCCCTTTCTTAAGACAATCTGTGTGTGGCTTTCAGTCTTGCTGGGTGCCTGATGCCACTTGCCTTGACTTCAGAGAGAAATTCAGCATCCAAGATGAGAACCGTGCAAAATCAGTAACCGCGTCTGAAAGTCTGACTGCCTGTTACTGGGGAAAGAAGCATGTTGATTCAGGGATGGGGATGTCAACACAGCTTTAAAGTTCACAGACCTGTTTATTTCCAGCCAGTTACATCCTAGGGCTTATGGGGAGTCAGGGCACAGCAGAGAGCCGGAGGGTTTGAGCTGATTGCCGGCTTGTAGGGGAATTGCTTCCGTGGAAACTAGGATGCTGATTGCAGAGCCACAAGCATCCCGCTTCAGCCGTGGTGAGCTGATATCGTGAACCAAGGTCCCTGCGTGCAGCTGGGGACATGTGGAAGTCATGCCTCTATGTCCTGTAGGGTACATCCCACAGCGGCAGAAACTGCGTCCTAGATATGTGTTCAGGGGGTGACCACACCGTGTATCCTGTCCCTGACGTTTTGGGGATAAAAAGCGGCTTTTTATTTCAGTGATGTGAGGCATGTGGACCTGTACCTGGTGGCTTGCGGTTTGCTGCTGGTTAATGTGGGAAAACTGGTTGAGGGGATGCTGCTGGAGGAAGGCGATCTGGGTGGAAAAGATCACAAAACAGCAGCGCTCTTGCGTTTCAGGAGAGGAGGGAGCGAAAGCAATGGACTAATGAACTTAAACCAGAAGACTTCAACCGGCTCAAAAAAATTGGTAAAGGCAGTCTTGTGGAAAGGAATTTTAATGGGAAAGGGAGCCCGGGAGAACTGTCGGCTCCTAAAAGAGGCGCTGAAGATGCAATGAAAAACCGCCCTGATGCAGGAGGCTCCCAGCAAGAACGGGAGAGGCCAGTGTGGCCACCTAGGAAGATGACCTAATGTTTGAAAAGATGGTGTAAAAGGTGGCTTGCAGGCAGGCAGTACAGGGAAACCTTCTAACACTGTCCCATATGACACTCTCGTGGGCAAACTAGGGACATGTGGTCTTCATTGAACTGCTGTAAAGTGAGGAAAAAGGAGGCAAGGGATCAGGCAAGCGTATGGAAGACAGAAGAGGAAGAAAGAGGTGTGGAGAGGGAAGAAGGCATAAAATGGGGTAAGATTTTTTCCTCCGAGAATAACAAAAGAAGGTCCAAGATAAAAAAAAAAATACACACTGTTACGCATCTAGTGTAGTTTAATGCAAATGCCTATGTCTTCATAGCAATGGTGTGTTACTCTAAATAGAACCTGATTTGCTAGATCAGTAAATACAAACCTGCCCTATGCTGACAAAAATATTAAGATCCTTTGCATGAAGCTTTTGGTTTCCTCAAATGAGGGAGAAAAGCGAGCAAACCTGCTGCAGCTCTTCCCATAATGAAGTTCCCTTTTGTATTCTACAGGGTAGAGTCTCTAAGTATCCAAATTTGAATGATTAAAAAAAAAAAAAATCAAAAGGCTCATTTTTCTAATGGGTAGATTATAAGTGCTAGTTTTGCCAGCTCCCACCCACAAACTGGTTTAATAATGTTATTTGCCCTCATCTGCAATTAAACTTCTTTCTTAGGTGCCCTTGTTGCCCTTTGCAAAGTGACTTGTTAGGAGTGCTTAGATAATTCAGGAAAAGGAGTGCACCAGGAGCGGGGAGTCCTTCTATTGATTTTTGTACAAGATCTTCGCTGAGATCTTTTTTAAAGCATTACTTCACATGCCTTAAAAATTTTTGTCAATATGTCCCAATCAGCAGCAGGATGGAGGTTAGTCTAAAACTTAATTAAATTAACAATTAGGATGTCAAAAGTTGATGTAGAACATCAACATCAGCTAGAAGAATTATTATCTCTGTTATTCTGTGTTATAAATTAATTGTAAACTAAAGGAATGCTGGAAATTTCTAATTACATTCTGATTTATGTCTTCTGCATCTCACCAAAGATAATAAGATTATGTAGATTACAGATAAACGCAAAAGTGCCACTTTAATTTACGCTTGGTAGGAGGAAGGTTGATCAGATGTGAAAAAAATCCATGCATGTTATTTACATAGAAAAGAGACAGAAATGCTTGGGAAGTTCCGGGGAAAAGATGATGTCTCTCTTGGTGACCTTTTCTCCCTGGAAATTACAGTACATTCCCTGGGAGGATCACTTGCCATGCTATACATGATCACTGCACAGACAGGCAGGAACAGAAAATAGAGGCTGTAGTGAAAAGAATCTCACCTGATGTGTGAGTTCGCTAACAAGGCAAATCTCAGGATACTTATAATGAAAATCGTCTGTAAACACTCCTACGTGGTGGGTAGGTCTGCAAAGGTTACTTTGCACTGCTCAGAAAGGTGTTTGTTTGCTGTTCTCAGATTTGGATGAGCAGGAATACAGTGCAGCGCCGCTGAGAAAATGGAAAGGTAACAGAACCCAAAATCTGCCAGGGCCAAGATTTTTGCAAGTCGCCTTTTTTTTTTTTTCTTTTTTTTTGTCAGGTTAGGTCTCCTAAATAGCATGACTTTGTAACGTGCAGAACGCTTGTAGTCCTAAATTAAAATAATATAAAATTTAAGTGTGGAAAGGGTGATTGCTATTCTGACATTACATGGTGCTGCGGCTGTATTCACAGATACTCAAACTGGGTGCACTGGCCAGTATATCACCATCCCTGGAGGTGTTTAAAAAAAGGGTAGATGTAGTACTTAGGGACATGGTTTAGAGGTGGTTTTGTCAGGGGAGGTTGATGGTTGGACTTGATGATCTTAAAGGTCCCTTCCAAGCTTAGCAGTTCTATATTGTATGTGGATGTTTGCCAGCGCTGTTTCAGCATGGATCTATACTATTCCTCCTTCATATAGATGACTGAGTTAAGCTGAGGAAGTGCGGGTTAGATGAGGTGACAGTGAGGTGGATTGAGAGCTGGCTGTTGTGACAGGACCCAGAGGGTTGTGATCAGTGGCACAGAGTCTAGCTGGAGGCCTGTAACCAGTGGTGTCCCCCAGGGGTCGATACTTGGTCCAATTTTGTTTAATATATTCATTAATGACCTGGATGAGGGGACAGAGTGTATCCTCAGCAAGTTCGCTGATGATACCAAACTGGGAGGGGTGGCTGACTCTCCAGAGGGCCGCGCTGCCATCCAGCTTTTGAGAAGGATTTGGGGGTCCTGGTAGATAGTAAATTGTCAATGAGCCAGCAGTGTGCCCTTGCTGCTAAAAAGGCCAATGGAATCCTGGGCTGCATAGGGAAGAGTGTGTCCAGTAGGTCGAGGGAGGTCATTCTCCCCCTCTGCTCGGCACTGGTGAGGCCACAACTGGAATACTGTGTCCAGTTTTGGGCTCCCCAGTTCAAGAGGGACAGGGAGCTGCTGGAGAGAGTCCAGTGAAGGGCAACCAAGATGATTGAGGGATTGGAGCATCTCCCTTATGAGGAAAGGCTGAGACAGCTGGGACTCTTTAGCCTGGAGAAAAGAAGGCTGAGGGGAGACCTTATTACTGCTTACAAATATCTAAAGGGTGTGTTGAAGGAGGATGGAGCCAGACTCTTCTCGGTGGTTCCCAGTGACAGGACGAGGGGCAGTGGGTGCAAGTTGGAACACAGGAAGTTCCGTTCTAACACACGGAAAAACTTCTTTACAGTTAGGGTGACAGAGCAGTGGAACAGGCTGCCCAGGGAGGTTGTGGAGTCTCCTTCTCTGGAGATTTTCAAAACCCACCTGGATGCAGTCCTGAGTAATGTGCTCTAGGCAATCCTGCTTTAGCAGGGGAGTTGGACTAGATGATCTCTAGAGGTCCCTTCCAACTCTGAAAATTCTGTGATTCTGTGATTCCGTGACTGTGTCTGTTTTACCTCAAACCAGGACAGAGTGATATTCTGGCAGGCTGGCAGTACATATGACAGCACAGTCTATGGATTTATATGGACTGTAGAGCCTCTTAGTGCTGTAGTTGTGTTTGGAGCATGTTGTGTGCTCCAGGAGTTTTGCAAGCCGAAATAAAATAATAAAAAAAAAAAAAGAGAGAGCAATCTGTGGTGGCTTGGCCTGCTAAGAATGGTGAACCTGGAAGCAATTACAGACAATCAACAGCTGAGTCTGCTAGTGCTTCGGCACCTCCGGTGCTGTGGGAAAGGCTTCATAAAGGACATAATTATATTTGTGTGATCTGGGTGAATGGAAAATACATGCAGCTGAACATGCAACCCATGCATCCATTGCTCTGAGTTGGGTGACATGTTTGGATTGCAGAAAGTTATGCGTCTGCTCATGTGTGTAGCGTTGCATTGATTATTTGGGACTTCTCTGAAGCTTCATCTGTGCTGGTGAAGTCGGCCAGTACCTACATTGACAATTTTCAGGTAAAGAAATGAGAACATAGAATTGCAGAAATGTTATTTGGATGGGACCCTGGAGACCACCCCACTCAAAGCAGGACTACCACCAATGGTATACCATTAGGTCAGCTGTGCCTTTATCCAGCCAAGTTGTGAAAAGCCTCCAATGGAAGACCTACCACCACCTCTCTGGAGCACCTGATGGAGAAATTTTCCTAATAGCCAGCCTGAACCTCCCCAGTGTGTGGTCGCTGCCCCTTGTTATGTCCTCTGGCACCACCAAGAAGAGTTTGGCTCTGTCATCTTTGTACCTGCCCTTCAGGAAGTCATAGGCTGTTGTTCCATCACCTTTTCAGCTCCTCTTCAGTCCACAAAACAAGCCCAGCTCCCTCGACCTCTCTCACATTGCTCCTGTGCTCCAGACCGTGGACCATGGTGGCAGCCCTTATCTGGACCTGTCCAGTTTTTCCACATCCGCCTTGAAGCAGGGGTCCCAAAAGAGGATGCTGTACTCCATCTGCAGGCCTACCAATGCCATGCAGATGTCCAGCTCAATCTGCTGGCCACCCTCCACCCAGCACTGCTGAACATGCAATTTGCAGTTATTTGCAATGAGATTATAGTGTAGTCTCATATTCCTCTTGTCACCCACCGTAGCCCCCAAATCCGTTTTTTTTTCAGCAGAGCTGTTGCTTTCCAGCTTGGGGTTATTCTGTCCCAGCCACAGAACTTTTCACGTCTCCATGTTGAACTTTATGGGATTTCTGCTGGCACAGTCCATGGCTTTTCAAGGTCTGTTTAGTGATGCTCTACCATTCGGTTTGTCAGCCACTCCCTTAGCTTAGTAGCATCCACCACAGATTTCTTTGAGGATGATGCATTTACAGATTTGTATTCTGCCTCCTCATTCAGGTCTTTGATGAAAACAAGGAACGATACTGGCACCAGTATCCACCCCTGGGGCACTTTGCTTGTTCCTAGGTACCAAATGGGCATCAAGATGTTGATTGCTGCCCTTTGAGCCATGTGGTCCACTCGATTTTCAAATCACCTGACGGTAAAACAGGCATTGGACCATCCAACAGACATTCGGCCCAGACTTCCTCAGCTCCCAAATGCAGGTGTCATGAAGCAGTCTGCCACTCACTCAAGGCTCCTTATCATTTCAGCTTGCCTTCTGATACATGGGACGAGATGCAGAAAGAGACTGATGTTGATGCTGTGGTAAGGGTATGTCGTTCTTGGGGCTCTTGTAATTTTTCACATTTTTCACAGTATACCGGTGACACAGGAACATAGC